TCCTCACATTCTATTGTTATAGGGACTTAATTAATCAACCTGTAGGCAGGACGCAGTGCTTTTTAATGTCTCGAGGGGGGACTCACTCTTAGGTCGCAGTAAGATTAAAATGCCTCTCAAAATCATCCTGATTAAAGTGGCAGTCTAAACTGATGAAGGAGATGGAGTGGAGTTTTTAAAATTTAGATTCAGGCCACTTTTCCTAACAAAACTAAATTAAAATGTAGTTGGCGAATGAGGTAGAAAGCTTAAGAGGAGAACTGAAAGTTTAATGATCCCTCTGGGGGAAAATGCTTAAGAAAACAGGCTGTACTGCACCGCATGCACCATATGGAGCAATGTGTTCAGTATTAAATGATATATTTTTTTTAAATCATAATAACTCTAATAAATGTGTAAACCATACAAATGAACTCATATTTTATGAAATTATTTAAAAGTCATTGAAAGTAAACTCATTATAAGATTTAGTTGAAGTTTTATTGGACTTATAAATTTTATTTTCTAAAATGCCTTCTTTCAAAAGTCTGTTTTTATTTCATAATTGCACTTTTACTCCATATTGCATCTTATTTCAATGACATATGAGCATGGATGTAAAACAATAACGAGATACCACATGCCTAGATGGTGCCTATTCATTCTAATGGATCTGCCCTCCTGGTGCATACAACAAAAAAAGTTTTCTAGCTTCCAGGTTCACTTCCGCTGTATGCAGCCCATTGAATATGCGCAGTAATGTTTTTCATATCCGCGAGTTCCCACTGCTGACAGACTTTACATCATGATGATGTCACAGATTTTTAAATTGCTTTTCTTGACTCCAGGTAAGTTTAACAAAGAGAGACACTATTACATTTACTATAGATATGACTGACTAAAATTACCATAATATCAGCAGCCCACCCTAGAGGCAGAAACATTATGATGTAATAGACTAGCATGTTTTAGTGAGTTTAATGCAAATTTTTGAAACAGCATATCAGCGCTATCATTACTCAAAGCCATTAGCCTATGTTTTGATGATGTACCATAACATTATCATGCAGGAATTTGCAGCCTCAAGAACTACAGGTCCTTGGAGGCTCACAACTTTTCTACCCGTGGTTAAGCAGTTAACACCATCTTGATAAAGCATTATATCCTTTTTGTTTAACCAGAAACAGCCCCAAAATCGCCATCACCAAACCCACCAGACTCCATTTAAATAATAGTTTTATCAAATATGGAGCCAGCATATTTTTCCACATGTATAGCACCTTTCTAGTCATCATCTCACCTCATCTTTTAACACTACATGTCACATTCACCCATTCACACACATTAACACACTGCACTCACACACTGATGGAACAGCCATCAGGAGCAATTTGGGGTTCAGTATCTTGCCCGAGGATACTTCGACACGCGGACTGGAGGAGCTGGGGATTGATGGATGACCCTCTCTACTACCCCCTGAGCCACAGCCATCCAAACTAAGCATCTAACTGGATGAATTAAGGGTTTATTTCAACCAAACCAGAGTTGGTGATTCTTGGAAAGACGAACCAAGACGGGTTCTGCGAGTTTTATTTTGTTTCTGTCAACTTTGAATAAGTGTGTTTTACAATGAATATGACTGTTTATTTAAATGGAGTCTGGTGGGTTTGATGATAGCGATTTGGGGGCTGTTTCTGGTTGAAAAAAGGATCTTACTCTTCAACAAAAAGGTCTATCTTTGAAGGAATCCTTTCCATAATGTTTTCAGACACTTAAAATAATAATCTGAGTGTGTCAGTTGCAAAAACAAGCACTTTCAGTGGGTATAAATTGACAGTGCAAACATGCCTTGAGTGTTTACATTGCAGCCTGGCCGCTGCTCTCACTCAAAACTAAACCAATTTCAAAAATTGTTCTCATTAATCATGTAGACACAGTTTCAGGCTGGGGGGAAAAAAACATTATGAGGACTAGTTTTAATGATTTCTTCAACCATTTTTCAGTGATTTGATTTATTTATTTATTTAGTTTATACAAATTACTCCATTTTATTTCAAATATCTATTGAACACTTTGGGGTCCATACTGATAATGGTCAATAGCTGAAAATTATGACTTTTGAAATCAATAAAGTCACCTCCATCAGGGTCTGTTTAAGGCCTGGAGGCCACAAGGGGACCATGAAAAGTAATTGGTTAGTGTTTAAAGATTTGAATTTTATGTCTCTCTTAATTAAAAACCTGAAACAATCATATAAATTATTGTCAACTGCCATTTCTCCTCTGATAACTTTTACAGAAGCCTCTTGGCTACATGATGCATTCTTCTTCCTCTTCTGTATTTCCTCTTTTTCTACTTCCCAGTCATTGTGAACATCATCTTCCTCCTGACACCATTCAGAATACAAGTCATCTATCTCCGGGGCCAACAACCCCCCTGCTGACAGCACTAACAGCATGTAACACACACACAAACACACACAGGAGAGAAGCGGATTATGACCACAGGGACTTTCCTGTCCCTCCCAGCCATTGGTCAGACACGCTATGCTGACAGTAGCGGGATCCCAGGGGTCAGTAATCGGTAACAACAAAAGGAACCAGAGACCAGTGCCAGCGATACACATAACCAGATTAACATGGACAAGAATAGAGGCCAAGATGTGGGGAACCACCTTCTCCAGCGGGGAAGGCAATGTGTTGTTTAAGTCATTAATGGATTAGTGGAGGATACAGTCACAGGAAGGGAAGCAACAGACAGAAAGAGAGTAAGTCGAGGATATTTTTGGCACCTGCACTAACACACAGAGCCTTAGCAGGTACAGAGGCAGCATGCATTATGTGCATACACAAAGCACACAGTTGCAAACTATAAATGTGACAGCCTGACCAAATCAATGTCAATATTGACATTTCTAGGATTAGGCCTCTGACAAAATAATGAATAAATGCATGTGGTTTTACTTCCAAACACCTGGTTTCTCTGGACCTGCAGTCATTTACAGACACAGCTCACCCAGGATGAATAACTGGATGGAACAAAATCAACACAGATGGCAGGGAAGCCCAAAACATACTGCTGCTGCGTCTGCGTCTGGGAGCACAAACATATACACAAAATGAGTGGGTTGTCTATTTCTTTTAATAAATTCAAACTCTAATGCCTACGGAAATTTACTCACAAAGTTCCACCTCGTCTCAGAAAGCTGTTTCTGTGTCATGGCCTATAAACCAAGACTTAACTTTAAAAAAAAGTGACCTTTTATTTTCCTTTAATCATTAAATCATGCAATCTTGCTGCCAGGAATACATTTTTGACCCTTCGCTTGTTGCTGAAAACAGCTTTGCACGTCTCCGAATTGTCCAAAAATGTTGCTTCATGTATCACCACCCTGCAGACGTGGCCCACATCGGCTCTTGCAGTCAGTAAATGCCCACTGGATAGTGGCAGCCAGCTAGACGGCATCAAAGCTGCTTAACACAAAGACATAGTTGCTGACGGAAGCTGAAAAATAGATATGAAAATTTATCTATAGCCTACATTATTTCTTAGACAGCTTGGGTGTTTGAATTATTGAGAGGGCGACATATCTTTATGTTAATTATTTATCTTTCATGAAAAAAGTCCTCATTATTATGATCATGCTGCCATTAGCTCAGCTCTTAGAAAATTACCACCACCATCACCATCCTGGTGCTGCCATTAGCTCAGCTGTCATAGAAAAAACTACCACCACAGTCATCATCATCATCATCATCTACCATCCCCAATTTTAGTGGCACTATTTCCATCTTCATCATGCTGCCCTTGACTGTAGCTATCATCATCATCATCATAAGAACTTCCATCACAACCATTTTAATCATCATCATCACTAGCGCCATCATCATTCTGCTCCCCCCTAATCATCATCAACACCACCAGCAACATCATCACCACCACCAGGACTATCATCATCCCCGGTACCTGCTCTTCCTCTCATCATCACCAGTATTATCAATCAATCAACCAATCAATCAAACTCTATTTGTTTCCTACAGGTTAGTGTGACTCAGAGTGCTTTGCAGATGATTGACAAGTTGATAATAAGACCATATAGCAGTAAACAATTTGAGAATCATTCACACGAGAAGTAAAAATGTGATGAAAATGTTATAATAATACCACTGAGAAAATACATCAACTAATACCACCACCATCTTCGTCATCATCACCACCATCATCATGACCAGCACCAACATCATCATCATCACTCCCAGCACTAAAAAAAGATCTTAAACAAGCCTTTAAACAGAACATCACTGCCTTAAAGATAATACTGTAATCTGTTTGAAATAACTCACATTCTCATATACATACTCTACTAGGCTGCAATTCCCCCCACTGCCTATCCATTCCTCTCTCGTGCACCCTGACCCGGTGCGCAGTGCCTCCAGACCCGAATGCGTTCACCATCCCTGACCCTGATCTCATCCTCCCTCACCGGCCACCGGCATCGCAGCCTGCGCGGTCCACCACCCCGCTCTGCCGGGTTATACCCCCGCAGCAGCTTAGTGGAAATGTCACTCACCGTTTTCCTGCGAGGCTCTCGAGTGGAGACCGCGCGCCGTGTCAATGCTTAATTGGAGCGGTACTAAAGCTGAAGGCGTCTCCCGGACAGGGCAGGGCTCTGCGGTGTTTCACACACCTGAGAGAGACCCCCGGTCAGTGCACGGCTGCCCGGTACATTTCCCTGAGATCTCTCCCTGAGCTATAGGATCACTTTCCGTTCGCCCTCCGCCTGATCTCACCCTGACAGGTTCCGTGCTCCTTAGTTACGCACGCATGCACCGACCTGTGTAAATTCCACCACCCGCTGCAATTAACGGGACTGTAAAAGTCCTCGCGCCTCACATATGTACACACTTCTTACACACACCGATTGTCTCCTGTCTGTCACACACACAGCTTACATATGGCAATAATGAAACAATCCTAATACATGGATGATAAATTAATACCATAACAATAGTAATACACACGTTGTTTGCGTCTTCTCACCGGATCGGTACTCTGGAAGAAGCCCTGGTCGGGATCCGTTCATTCATTCATTCACTCATCCCTCTATCTGTTCATCCTTGCCTCCGTTCCGTCTCTCATTCAGCAGCTGAATAAACGGGTCCTCTCCTCTGAAGCGGCGGCGGCGGTGACAGAGCACGCGCACTTCACCCGTTGGCTCGCTCGCGCGCTCTTGCGCCCTCCCCAGTCTCTCTCTCTCTCTCTCTCTCTCTCTCTCTCTCTCTCTCTCTCTGGCTAGGAGCATCTCCCCCCTCTCTTTCCCTCTCTCTGGCTTTCTAGTGCAGAGCAACAAGGCAGAGAGAGAGGGGGGGGGGAGACGTGGAGCTGAGACAGAAAGAAGAGAGAGAGATGGAGACTGAGGGAGGATGAGCTGATGTGAGCAGGAGTGGAGGGATAAGACAGAGAGCTAGACAGCGGCTATTACTGTGTGTGTTTGTGCCTGTGTGTGAGTGTGTGTTGGCCGGTGCAGGATGAATGTGAACCAAAGGAGCATGCACTCCCAGCAGCATCACCCGAGCACTGATAAAGGCAGATCATTGGAGGGAGAGAGGAGACAAGAGGAGAGCAAAGAACAGTCATAAGAAAAATTGTAGAAGTTCAGGGCTGCAAATTGTTTATCAGTTATTTTATCAAAGAATCAATTAACTGTTTACTGTGTGAAATGTAAAAAAATAAAAAACATCTTTCACTCTGCTCATTTCCTGCCCAGTTATCTAATAAAGGCATAACAGGCTTAGTCAAGTATCTGATAAGGTTGTTGATTAATTTTCTGTTGATGGACTAAACAGGTTTCAAATAAAGATATGCCATGATGGAAAAACTTGGCAACAAGTTGTTCCTCACAACCCAGTCACCAGTACAATTGTTAGCATTGTACATTTCTGTAAACCATGTATATATTTCTATGTTTTTCTGTAGCAGATACATTGAAACTTTACATTTCAATATCGCTGTGGTTAATTTGTGGGTTTAGACACAACCACTTGATTATGGGTAAGGAAAGCTCATGTTGTCTGTAAAAATAAAGCCCTTTCATGCCACTATCCCAACAGGAAACACAGTGGTGTCTCTGTTTGAAAAGAAAAAAAAAACAAAATGCTTTTTTTGTCACTATCCTGGCAGGAAACACAGCGATGTCTGGTAAAAAACAATCGCCTTTCATGCCACTATCTTGATAGGAAACACAGTGATGTCTCTGTTTGAGAAAACAAAAACTTTTCGTGTCACTATCCCAGCAGGAAATGCAGCGATGTCTCAGTGATAAACAATCACCTTTGTGGCACTATCCAGGCAGGAAACACAACAATGTCTTGGTAAAAAACAGCCATCTTTCATGCCACAATCCCAGCAGGGGACACAGCAATGTTTCTGTAAAATGCACTCTTGTGCCACTATCCATGCAGGAAACACAGTGATGTGTCTGTAAAAAAACAATTGCTTTTTGTGCCATTATCCCACCGGAAAAAAACAGTAACAGGTTGCTATAAAACACCCACATTTGGTGACTAAAAAGTTGCTGGTAAAACAGCAATGGGTTGCTAAATAGCAGCCGGTTTTGTTGTTTGTTGGTCTTGACCAGTGGTCTGCAGCTTAGCAGGTGTCACACTCTGGCGACCGGACTGGAAATGAAACATCCCCTGTTTGCATTCAGCCAAAGGCTTTTTCTTTCATGTCGTTTCATGTCAGACCTCATCTTTCTCTCCTTTTATTTCCTTTCACTTCTTTACTTTATGCCTAATAAAGGCATTAAACTATTAATTGATTATTGAATTAAGTTGCTCATTTATTTTCTCTCCATGGACTAATATTTTCATACAAGTTTAGAATAAAGGTTTACTACTGTGAAAAGGTTGACAAAACCTTCACTAGAAGGAAGGTCAAAGATCAGCACGAAAAAAATCAAAATATCTCTACAGACACAGACAGTTCATATTTCTTGAATTGTGAATGAGTTTCACTGGAGACCTAAAATATGTTGTTTGGATGGGAATTTATTTGTGGATTGGATAAGTGCTGTTCCGCCTTGCCTCTCTACAGTGGAGGAGGCAAAGAAGAATAGCCTGCACTGAGATGAGATAGGGGGGTGAGAGATAGATGAGGGAGAGAAGGGCAGTGAGAACATTAGAAAAGTGGACAGGGAGAGAAAAAAAGAACAGAGGAGGAGAGGAAAGGATGAAGGCTAGAGAGGAGAAATTAGACAAGGAGGAGACTGGAAGGAGACTGGAGGGAGATGAGGCGGGAGAGGGCGGGAGGGATGAAGATGGGAAAGGAAGCGAGGAGAGAGAGGGGGGAGTGTCGGAGTGGATGTAAATAATGAGAGAGGGGAGAGGAGTAGTTTTACATGATCCGTCTTTTCGACACACTTGATCAGAGTTCTGTCTCAGCATGAAGCATGGCCTTTACACCGCAAGCTAATTCACACCCCAAGGGGACATCTCACACATACACACACAAACGCACACTAACACTGAGCAATTCCAGCCAAACTCTTACGCTGAGAGAACTAACACACACACACACACACACAACCATCCATGTCCAAATATATTCCAGCCTAATGCATAACTGCAGATTCATAGTTGGACAAACAGGCACATTTGCACACATATGCGCACACAATGGTACAAAATATGCATGAAAGAACAATACACATAAGCACGCGTGCAGACATACAGATGCCAACACATCCTCGGCGCCCACACACGGATTTCTATTCCAGCTCCTGCTGTGAGTAAAGTCTGGAAGTGAATAGAACAGAGGATTCTGTGAATGGTGGTGCATATTATATTAAAGCGCTTTATTAATGAATAACACAGACGCCTCCATATTCTTCTTCAGAATTATGATGAAGGCAAAGATACTATATTCCCTTTCATCTTTGGTGATATTTTTAAAGGATAGAGTTGGTAATATTCTGTATATTTATTGTCAAGAAATCCCATGAAAAGTTTCTGAGTTTGTCTCTTGACACTCTATCTGTGGCACTCAGCCCCAAACACAGTACAGCAGTAGCACAATATCTGTGGAATCAACCCATGATAAAATACAGTGCCCTTGTATATGAAGGGACATGTCACCCCCTACAACAGCTTGGCTCCCTAATGTGTTTTTAATAGTTTTTGGACAATGATGGAGCTCTGTGGCACAGAGAAATGAGCTATATCTTGCTGTGACTACACAGACAATACTCGTCCACAGAGGGAGGAAGTCGATGTGGATGGATGGGTCAAGAAAACGTTAAACATTAACATGGGAGGCTGCTGTGTTTTTCCTGTTTTCTACTGATAGTCAACATTGGCCGCAGTCATTCCCTTACCATAACCATGTCTTTACTGTTGTAACTATGACAACAGGGGTCCCCTAACCTTAACAATATAGGAATTTTTACCCCAAAACAAGATGTTTCTCTAATTTTTACTAAGTTGTTTTTGTGCCCAAACCTAATCAAAGCTTAAATACAAATGTTTGCTCTTTCCTGTAGTGCTTATTAACAATCTATGTTTTGGTGTGAGTTGCCGAGTGATGGAGATATCGACCGTAGGGATGTCTGCCTTCTCTCCACTATAATGGAACTAGATGGCACTCAGCTTGTGATGCTCAAAGAGCCAAAAATAAATTTGAAAACTCAACAGCAATGTCTCTTTCCAGACATCATGACCTGGTTACTCAAGATAATCCTTTTTGTGAGCCGTTACATGTAGGAATTATTTTCTTTCTACCGAACTACACCCACAAACTGTATCACCACACAGAAGGGAGCATGCAACTACTGCTAGCTCACCTAGCACCACAGAGCTAGCTAATGATACAGCTCAGCCAAGGAGGACATCATTAATAATTACATCTCACACTGTCATGAGCATGAGCCTCTCGTCCATGAGTAGATGTATGCTTCCTTTTCCTCTGTGATACGGTTGGCAGATGTAGTTTGGAAGGAAGAAAATAGTTCCTACATGAAACTGCTCACAACAAGGTCCGTGGATTACCTTGAGTAACCGGGTCATAATTTCTGGAATGAGACATTGCTGTTGAATTTTTCAAATGTATTTTTTGGGTGCTTTCAGCACCACAAGCAGAGTGCCATCTGCTGTCATGGAGGGCATGGACCAGCAACTCATTTTGTATTTTGAGATTTCTCCCTGTATGTCTGTTGAAGAAAATGGTACAAAATGTAAAGGAAGAAGTGTTCACTCTGAGAAAGGTCACTCCAGAAGATTTATGTGGTGGTTTTTGGAGAAAAGTTTCAAGCAACTTGTTCCCAAAGTTAAATACAGGCTTTAATTATCATGGCCTGAACTACTGTTCTTGCCAGAGGGGAAAAAAACAGTAAAATTGACACAAAAACATGCAAGAACAAGAACAGTTTAAAAAAAACGGTGCATGCTTGTATTTTGGGTTTCTGCTAGAACATGTTTACATGCTTCACTGTTAAAAAACACATTATTTTTCTCATATTGTCTGCATAAATATATACCAGTATATAAATGCTCCATTTTAGCGCCTTTCTCTGTAAGCCCCCCTCCCAAAAAAGCCCAGTCTGCTCTGATTGGTCAGCGGTTCCACGTTATCCACATCTGCGTCTCTGCGCCATAATTACAGCCAGGGAATTCAATTCAATTTAATGACTGTAATGGGACTTCAGCGGCACTTTGTGTCTTTTTAGACTGTTTCCTTGGAATTGCATTGCTAGGCAACAGCTTGGATCAATTTTTACTTCCTGTCAGCTGATGTCATTCACATACACTGCAAAAGAGTCTGTTTACACCTGGTATTAACATGCGTCTTGGGTGATTCGATCACAAATGGACAGTTCTAAATATAAGTATAAACAACCACCAAGATGTATTGTGATCCAATCACTCAAACCACATTCAGAGGTGGTCTGGGCCATATATGGCCTCATTCTTTCAGCAGTGTGGACACTAATGTGTCCTGGGCCACATTAAACAACCGCCTCTCCTGCTGATGTCCTATCTGAAAGACCATCTCTGGAGTCACTCTACTCCCGGAGAATGGTCAGTTCAACGTCTCCCTGGTTGGCTGAGCTAACAGCAGCAGCAGCAGCAGCAGCTTTTAAACAGCCCCAAGAAATTCACACCGACAGCAAAATGGCGCAAGAGGGAAAGAGAGAAAGAGGG